ATATTTTTCCAAGGCAATTAATTTCTTCTTTGTGGCTTTGGTTTCTGAGGAATATGTTGGGATGTTGGTGTGATTTTATCCACTTGATTGTTTGAATAAAATTCTAGTTGATTGTGAAGTTGAACAGTGATTGTTGTCTTGGTTTCACTTTTACACACGGCATCAACGGACCTGGGAGACGAGAGGTGACAACGAGCAACAGGTACATTTTTCCAGTCTCAAAAATCCCCAAACAAGATCAACCAGTAGTGGTTGCAGTTCAGCCTGACATGAACTCAGTGAAATTTCCAATCATGACCCAGTTTGTTCAGAGATTCACCACCTGGATGAGTCCAACATCAGAACAATCAACTGTCTCTGTAGAGACTGAATACATTAAAGCCACTGAAACTCTCCACAGCATTAAATCACTGTAACATCATAATCTGAAATAAAATGTTTACACATGGTACTCCAGTTGTTCACTTGTTTTTTGTTTTACCCTCTTATTGTCTTAAATCTGTTTTTGCTCAAACTTTATGAAGTTTGCTCAATCAGCTCAATCCCACTGCCTGCAGTAAAAGTGGTTAGTTGTAGTCCTCTAGTCTGTTTGCCTGACTTAAAATCAGCTCCATTAGCAGGAATAAACTCTTAACTCTCTCCTTGTCTCCCTTTCTGGAAGAGGGACCAGATTAAAGGTTGAGGGGCTTCAGGCCCTTAAACTCTCCTGCTCCATGCAATAGTTTATCGTAGGAGGCTCTCTGCTGCCACCTACTGGTCAAACTGCCAACTATTGCACTTTGGGTTGAGCTGCATTTGTATAAAGTCCTATAACTGGTACAAATGATGCTGCTGTGCAGTCAGTGTAAATGCTCAGACTGTAAATGGATGTTTACTGTGGAGCCAGATGTCTAGTAAGTTGCATCAGGCTCTAAACTATAACTTTATATTGTTGACTTGAACAGGCCACATGACATTAGGATTGGACTATAAATCTGAGTCAGTATAAAATTAATCATTTCCACATTTAAAACACTTAAACTGATGTAATTTATTGGTATTAACTTTATTCTGAACCTGTGTAGAAAATCTAACCTAAGATGTGCTATAAAATCAGAGTCCCACCATATTTGAGAAACCAAATGTTGAAATGTTTGAGTTATGAAATGTCTGCAATAGAGGAAGCTCATCTGAAAGATGTAACCAGAAGTTCTGGTTAGATCTGTTTATAAAATTATCACACATTTTAAATGTTTCAGAAACCAGCACTGAGATTTTAGTCTTTCAGTCTGTTGAGGAAATTTCTGTTATCAAAGAATGAATCTGTCCAGGAACTAGAGGAAGATTAATCTTTGTCTTTATTTCTA